AAGTAAGGATGCCCTATCACCTCAAAAACATCTAGCTAATCATCTATGCAAGTCATCACAAAAATAAAACTTTGATACATGTGAAGAGGGATGTTGAAGTTGTGTTCATAACACTAAAGCAAAAGATAAGAGTAGAATTTATTTAAAAGTTATTATATGTGTTGTAATTGTACATGATAATAACTAATAAGTAATTAATATGGTCATTATAACTATAAATTTTAGTTAGTAACTTAAGTTTTCCCCCTTATACTTCTTTAAGGAAAAAATAGAACTCTAATACTTGTAAAGAGGGATGTTAAAGTTGTGTTTAGGGCATATATGTCTCCAAGAGATGAACTGGACTTTCAAGAACAAGGAAACCAACAACTAAGCTCCCAATCAAGAGCCAGTTTCGACAAAAAAAAAATGACCCTAAAACATTTGAGATTGTGGATGCTATAGTGTATTGGCTATTGGATATGAAGCAAAGCACACAAGAAGAGAACCCTGAAAAACATTGAAATTGTGAATGTTGAAGCAGTAACTGAGAAAGATACGGTTAGGAAGGAACAAGGAGAACAACCACATGTAGATGGGAACAAAAAAGAAAACAAAGAAGGGGGACTGAAAGATGTATTACCTTGCTATCAAAGTTCATCAAAGAAAGGCATTGTCAACGTTGGCAGTCAATGACAACGCTGGCTTTTTATGATGTTGCAGTGGAAAAAGAGTAAGGATTAATAACATATACTTCGTACTTTATAGGAACTTGTAGTCAAAAAGTGAATAGGATAATATGTAACAAGTTACAAAAATCATTCATTAGTTACTGTTAACGTGTAATAAGTTAATATGTTTATGCCTTGTATTTCGGAGAATTAATTGTCAGATTCAATAGGAGTCTTTGTGTTAAAAGGAATTATATGATGTGATTGGATTTAACAAACTTTATACCTTCTGCAAATGTTAATTGTTGAACATATTATCTTACTGAAGAAGAGCTAAACCCATCGAGTGAGAACTGATACTTCTTCTCATTATGGAGCAAAACAATAATAATATAATTTATTAGGAAATTGAATAGGGTTTTGATATTCATATAAGGAATGCATTACAATCTTACATAGAGTATGGAATGAATGGAATTCTATGATTAATTACAATGAGACATAAATTACATATTGTATTGTGGATCTATTTGCCGACAGTGACTTCATTTCTGTTCAGAAACCACTATGCGTCTTATTTTATAAATACATTGCCAAAGAAAGTACATTTTGTTACACCCTGACCTGTAGGGCTCGAGGTAGCTACTCCTAGACACTCTTCAGACTTCTAGTGCTGTCCTCATAAATTAAACCAACACACGCTCTTACCCTTCACTTTGTATTCGCCCGTGTGCACCTTGAGAAACTTTCCAGGGGGTCACCCATCCCAAGGTTACTCCCGTGCAAATACGCTTAACTTGGAGTTCTGAGCTGATGAGTTTTCTTAAAAGGAGATGCATCTTTTTTATATGATTAGTACTATTAATCTTTTTTAAATTAGTCTCTAGTATTACAATCTTCTCTACTTAGGAACGTCATCGTTGCGGCCATAAACCAATCTCAATCAAATCCCAGAATCCTCCCTTGCTAAGTGCCTATCTGATATCCAACGGATCAGCACACTACTGATGGGTTGCTCTGATATCACCTGTAACACCCCGGCCCCGCAGAGTCCGAGATAGTTACTTTTATATACTCTCTAGACTTCTAGTACTATCCTCACAATCCAACATAAGTCTTTACTCTGCTCTTTGTTCTCACTCTAGAAATTCCCATGGGATTACTCATCCTAAGAATACTGTCGTGCAAGCATGATTAACTTGGAGTTCTTAGTTGATGATCTTCCTTAAAAGGAGATACACCTTGTTGATACGTGTCTTTTATTTATACATGATTTTCTTAGTGAAATGTTCTTAATTAGGAAGTCAATAAAACATATTGTTTTATACCATACAATACACATTGTACAATATTGGATTTTACAAGTTTTTTTAAAAAGGCACACAGATTATACAATACTTCATATGCACTCTTTTCCCCATCCACGGTTTGGTTCCCCTCAATTTTCTATGACAAGGTTTTAATGAGAGAACATTACCAAGGCGAAAATAATGTATAATTTCATATTTTTTATTTATTTAGCAATGTACATCCAAGAGTGAGTGTTATGTAATATGTAGATGCACATTACTCTCCCTAACATAAATGTATTACTAGGATCCAGCCCATTATTACATGTAGCTCTAATTTCATTCTCCTCAGTAAATATATTCGTTGTGTGTGAATGAAGATGCTGCCTTTGGACCTGGTTCATAGCAGAAATACATTCATGAACCTACTTTAATTTTTACGTACAATGCTTATTTAGGATATTTTTACTTGGGCTGTAATTTGCTGGTATGGTCTGATCTGGTCTGAACTGGGTTGGTCTGATTTCTTTGTATTTTCATAACTATTCAAGTCTCGTCTGAGACAGATTACAGTCCAAGTAAAACATCCTTAGGTGCAACTACTTAAATTTAGAATCCGCACGGTAACATTAAAGCTGAAATTAGTTAATAAAATAAGTAAAGTTTATATGAAAAAACTAAGCATCTAAAGCAAGAACAACAAAATAATATTATTGATACAATATTTTTTCCACAAAGTTTAAGATGGTGTTTGTAGATGTAGTATCACTCACAAGTACGGAGTATGAGAGTGTTTAGCTGTTTTAGCACTATTCTACTTTACTAAGAAGGGTTCTAGTCAAATTTGGGGTAGGTTATTTTGCAAAAATAAAGTAAAGAATTTTTCTCAAAATATTACTCCTTTTGTCCCGCAAAATAGTTCACAGTTTCCCTTTTGGATAGTCCAAAAATATCAATGTTCTAAAAGGTGCTAGGCGCTAGTCGGGCGCCAGCCCAGCGCCTAGCGGCTAGGTGGGCGTCTAGTCGGGACTAATCGGAAACATAGAAATTGCATTTTTATCTATATTTTTGCATAAATATGATAAGTAACATTGTATTTTTGTGTGCATAAAATACATATATACATATAAATTAACAAACATGAATGATAGAATTATCACATTTAATCATACGTAGTATATGATAACTAATCAATTAACTTCATTATGTTATGAATATAAATAATGATAAAATTTAGGTATATATACAAACTATATAGTTTTATCTGTTAAAGTACGTTAGTACATATATCGCTTCGAAAATTATAATTAAATAGTGAAGTAATGTTCAGCGAATCTAGACGGCCTAGGCGGCCGATTAGGCGCTCTAGGCGGGCAACTAGGCGCCATAGGCGGCCGGCTAATTCACCTAGACGACAAACCAATTAGTCGGAGCGCCTAGACGAAAATCGGGGCGTCCGACCATCACCTAGCGCCTAGGCAGGGACTAGTCGGGCGCCTAGAACGATTTTTAGAACAGAGAAAAATATAGTTCTCATTTCCCTTTTTGGAAAGTTTTGTGTGACTGTCATTCATTTACTTTTTTTAACTCGGCCGAAATCATATATTTCCACTTTATTATCATTTTCTTAAACTCCAATCTAAATCCTAGTGGGAACTATTTTATGGGATGGGGGTACTGATTAAATGTCATGGCAAAAAATTGTGAATTAGAACAGAGTAACTTTTAATGACTTTAATTGTATTCAAAGTTATCGTGGTCATGATTACATGTAGTCACTATGATATAAACATTAAAAACAATTGTCGTTATTAAAAGTTACCAAGTTATATTTTTATTATTGAAATTATTTCAAAAGAAAATGTGACAATTAATTTTGAACGGGCCTAAAAAGAAAGAAAAGCAATTACTTTCAACGATGGGGGAAAATATGAAATTAGTTGAATATTAGTTAAAAAAAATTCTAAACTCTGACTTTGAAGGTTGAATATATGAAATGTGACAATTGTTTTAATTTTTTTTAATAAAATAAATACATATATGAAAAAATTAGTTAAAATACTCATATTCAAAAAATGCAACAATCTAGCTAGAAAAGTAATCTGATTCGTGCTCATTTCTATTACAACGTATTCTATGTTACATAGCTCGATGTGTAAAATAGGAAATTTAGTTTTTAGTAGAAATTAAAATTCATTGATTATTAAATATAAAGTAACACTACCTCTGTCCAATCAACAATGTCTTATGTGTTTGATATTATAGTGATAAAGCAAGAATAAAAAAGTAATGGTTTAGAACCACACACTTTATCAAATTTAGTATATGACAATCTTAGTAGGACAGATCATAAAAATAAAATGTGACAACCTAAACGGGACAAGAAAGTACATAATACTACCCATGTTCATAAATAAATGCAACATTTTGAATTTTATATTGTTCACATGTTCTACTTTAATTTCAGTACGTTTTATATATTCATGTATTAATATACTCCCTCCGTCTCATAATTATCTTCATTCTTTCCTTTTTGGTTCGTCCCAAATTTATCTCCTCTTTCCCTTTTTAGCAACGGATTTGTGGTTCACAACCATTCTTACACATTTCTCTCTCCTCTGCACAACTCTCAACCACACATTTCCCACTTTCTTAATCTCCGTGCTCAGTCAAAACCGAAGTTAATTCTGAGACGGAGGGAGTATATTTTTGAAAAATATATTGTTAATTTGTCTTATTATAAACTTTCAAAATCTATTTTTGTAATTTTTTTAATCCTAATAGAGAACTATATATATTTAATGGTCAAAGTTTATCTGAGCAAATGTGAAATGTCAATTGTTACATTTAATTAAGAATGGAGAAAATATATTTGAGTCTACAATAAATTCCTAGTGTATGCTAAAAACTTAAGTAATATCCCGAAAATATATGTCATCTAGGATCTTGGATAAGATTCAAATAACTATGTGTACTTTGTGTCTCTCTTAAATAATGTGACCCTAGATGTAACATGGAAAATTGATAATGTGACCCTATTTATTTATGACATTTCATGTCAGTTTATTTAGACAGAGACGTGTATTTATATACGCCTTCAGCTTTAATATAAGTTCATGATTCGAAGCCATCCAAACGAAAGCTACTTTACTAGAACAGAATCGAGCAGAGCTTACAGGCATAAACACCCAGAGCATGGCTACCAGTCTATACATTACGGCTCTGCTTTTGACGGCGGCGCTCTCCGCCGTCTCCTCCTGCCCGCCGTCAGATAAGGCGGCGCTGCTGGCCTTGAAGAATGGTCTGAAAGAGGTTAACTTGGGCATATTTAACACCTGGAAAGGTGAAGAATGCTGCAAAGGGTGGTACGGAGTGAGTTGTGACCCGTCGACTCACCGAGTTGCTGACATCAGCCTGCGAGGCGAATCGGAAGACCCGATTTTGGCGAACCAGACCGGGCACATGACCGGTTCAATCTCCCCGGCGATTTGCAAGCTCGAGTGGCTCTCCAGCCTGATCATCGCCGATTGGAAGGAGATTTCCGGGCCCATCCCGGAGTGTATAACTTCGTTGAGCTATCTCCGAATCATCGACGTCATCGGGAACCGGCTCACCGGTCGGCTCCCGGCCGATATAGGCCGGTTGAGCCGGCTCACGGTGCTGAACGTGGCTGATAACGCCCTCAACGGGCGGATTCCGCGGTCAATCGCGAATCTCACTTCCCTGAAGCATTTAGATCTCCGGAACAATCGATTCTCCGGCGGGATTCCGAGGACGTTCGGGCGGTTGAGAATGCTGAGCCGGGCTTTGCTGAGCGGGAACCGGTTCATCGGCCCAATCCCGAACTCTGTTTCCTTCATCTACCGGCTGGCTGATTTGGACCTCTCCCTGAACCAGCTCTCCGGCCCAATCCCGGATTCGCTCGGGAAAATGCCGGTTCTGGCCACATTGAACCTCGACGGGAACAGATTCTCCGGCAGTATTCCGCCGTCGCTGCTGAGCTCGGACATCAGCATACTGAACCTGAGCCGGAACGCAATCGGCGGGCACATTCCGGACGCTTTTGCGGCGAAATCGTACTTTATGGTGATGGATTTGTCGTACAACAACATAAGTGGGAACATTCCGAGTTCGATCAAATCGGCGTCGTTTATCGGGCACTTCGACGTCAGCCACAACCACCTGTGCGGCCAGATTCCGAACGGGCCGCCGTTCGATAACCTGGAAGCTTCGTCTTTTGATTTCAACGATTGCCTTTGCGGGATGCCGCTTAGAGCCTGTAAATCGTAACAATTATTAGCTTAGTACGTGTTTATTGTTTGTTATTGTATTGATATTCAAGTTCGTTATGATAATATGCATGTTTAATTCAACTTTTTTGAGTAAGCTGTGAGGTTGACTTGATAAGTTGATTTACCTTTGTGTTCTTTATTTTGTTATTACTTGTGATGAGTAACGTACTCGATTTCATGGGAGAGAGTATACCATTTAAAATTGGATTGGTAATTATGAGAGTACTTGAATCTCTTCATATTTTTGAATGTACAATACTTAGTATTGAATTGACTTAGGCAGTGTTTTAGGGAGTGTGTGCTATCACTTGAAAAAGAGAAAAAGTACAAATAGGCTCATGTACTAACAAAAAAAGGTCAAATAAACTCTTATTTAGAAGGTTCTGTCTGGCCGTCGTCATTTGAAGTGGTTCTTGGCAGAATTTTTTGATGAAATTGTTTGAGCATCTTATTCATTAAATCTAGTTAACTCATACCAAATTTTAACTAAAACTTCAATCGGGAAGGCATTCAAATGAATTCTTGAAGATAACTACGCTTCTAACTGCACAATTATTTTCAAAAATCTATTTGAATGCCTTCCCAATTTGAAGTTTTAGCTAAAATTTGGTATGAGTAAACTAGACTTAATGAATAAGATGCTAAAAAAATTTCATCAAAAAATTCCACCAGGAACCACCCAAATGGCGACGGCCGGACAGAGCCTCCTAAATAAGGGCTTATTTGACCTTTTTTGGTTAGTACATGAGTCTATTTACACCTTTTCACCTTAAAAAACCCACTTCTCGAGCTTTTAATTTTAAAATGATGTTTACAACTGATTTTACTTTAAAAAAGCACTTTAAAGCTAAAAATTGGAAGTCGGTATATAATAACTTCAAAATGCTTATTTTCAAAAAAAAAAAAAAAACTTCAAAATGCTTCTTGGTATTTTTGTAAATAACTCAAACCAGGATAATTTTTGTAAAATTCATCTCATCCCCAAAATACCCTGCAATAATTATACCCATCTACCATCGTCCAGCATCATCTCCCATTGCTTCTTCCATTGGAGTGTATCTCCATTCTAAAAGAAACTGAAATGATGGAACTCAAGAAAATCCAAATCCGTTGAAGCTACAAAGAATCGATTCTCCTTCAACTGGCGGCTGGCCGGCTGGGGAACGAGATGGCACAGATGCCGCTGCGTCGGTGGTTGTCGCCGGCAGAACAAGACACTCCTTCCATGGACGACGGTGGTTGTCGCCGGCGGAACATCGTCGCTCAGGTAGATTCACGGCGAACAGCAGCTTTCCTTCCACGGACAGTTGGGGATTGGGATGGGAAGACTCTCCTTCCCCGACCCCTTTCTTTCTTCAATTCTGTCTGCATTTTTTCTCCTACATTTCTTCTTTAGGCCTTTCATCTTGAGGGTAATTACTCCAGGGGCAATATTGTACTTGTACACTCTACTCCTTAAAAAAAGGAAAAATAGAAACAAATAGTCCCACCTTTACCCGATCTGCTTTAAACGGTCCCTCCTTTTGATATTCCATAAAAAACCCAACCTTTTTATAAAATCTTCCTTCTTCGGTCCTGGGTCGTATTTACCGGTTGTTTTAAGTTTTTAAATGTACAGTCACCGGTTATCAAACTTATTATACAGTAAACAATTACGTAGTATTTTATATCCGCACATCCCATATTTCTTCGTCGTCTTTCTTTTCTGTCTCAGCCTGTTCCTTCGTTCGCAGCAGTGTTCTTCTCTTCTTTCTTCGTTTGCACCAGTTTGCACCAGCTCCTAACGTCTTCCTTCTTCCTGAGTTCGTTTGTGTAGCCCTATTCTGTGTTGGCATCAATGAGTCGTGTACCAAAAATAAATTCAGAAGCTTATGGGTCCTCTTCGACTCAATCAAGCGCAGGGACAAATTTAAGCATGAATTGCCATCACAACATCAATTCGGTTTTGAGAGTGGTTAAGAATGAGAAAAATGTCGGAAGAAAATTTCGTGGTTGCTCTTTGTGGCCTGTAAGTTTTAAATATTTTTCTTCATAGATGTTCTTACGTAGATACTGGATAAAATTAGGGTTTATTTTGAGATTGATTTTGATATTATTTGGTTGATTTGGTTGATTGATTTGGAATTTGCTATTTTTTAAGTATGAAACTGAAATAGATGGTACAAATACAAGATATTGTTTATGTAATTGGGGATGAAAATTGCAGTTTATGGGTTCATGTGATCCGGGATAAAAAAACTGCAGATACAAGAATAACTGAAGTAGTAAAGTACAATAAAGACTAGCAGACAAACTAGAAGTCATGACTACCTTAAACTAGAGTTGAGAAATACAGAAAAGTTGATCCCCAAAGAAAGGATAAAAGATACCTTTTGCAGAGAAAATGAACGGCTGGCCTTCACTACCCTCTATATTCTTTGTACTAGGAATTTCTATGTAAATGCTGGAGTAATATCAGTAGCTTGGTTTGGTACTCTGAGCTTGTATGTGTTTCAGGAAGAAAATTGTGGTTTCTTCAGGTGGGACGAAGGTGTTAACACACATTCATCACCTCAAATTGAAGATGTCAACGTCTTGAACACACAACCAATCACATTTGACATACAACTTGAAAAGAGGATGATGGAAGAAAAGATCAAGAAGCTGCGTTTCAAAAATCAAAGGCTGAAAGCTGAAGTGCATCAACTGAAAAATGAAGTCTTTGAACTTCGTAGTGAAAAATTTAAGTATTCAAGGATTTGGAAGAAGTATTTTCTTTGTCTAACAATTTCATTCTTCATGTTTTCCATTGTATTCTTGTTCTTGAAATAAATAAGATTTCAATAGTTCAAGGATTTCTACCATTGCTTATCCAGGATTTGATTATGTAATTCCAGAATTTGTATCATTTTGTCTCTTAAGTCTGACAATGTAATTCCAGATTATGTACTATTGTTTAATCCATCCTCTTTTAGTTTAGCCAAATCTACAATGTACTTTATTAGCTATAGCTAATATGTTCTGTTTTCAATTGGTTCTATTGAATAGATTGCTTCTGGCTATAAATAGCACCAAACAAAGACTGTTTTTGCATATGCTCTGTGAAAAGTTGTTGGTCTTACATAAATTCCTTGAACCCAAAAAACCATTAATCAAGGAGAACATAAACATGAAAACAAAAGTAAAGGGAGAAGAATTTCAACAAATGTGCTAGTGCATTGGTTGCAGCCAAATGGCAAATCCATTAGTCATTATATGTGGCTACTGAGAATCTTCTTTTGAAGGGGCAGGTGGTTCTTTTGAGACTACCTCTAGAGGTGCAGACTACTGAGAATACTTCTATGTATAATGATACTGACATCATTATCTTAAATACTGGTCATTGGTGGACTCATGAGAAAACCTCTAGAGGTGCAGACTACTACCAAGAAGGCAATTAGTAAAAAAAGCTAAACTATGAACATGTAGTTGATGGCAGAATAGGTACAAGGGTAGAGCTTAGGGGTGGTCCCAGCCCCCTATGTTTTTGGGTATAGTTATATATTTACAAATACATATTATCTGTAAAAAAAAAAGCTCAACTATGAACATGTAGTGTCTATTTTTAATTAAAAAAAAAGGCTATTCTAGCTTGTTGATATCGTGATCTGTACTGTCAAGAAGAATTTGTTTTCGCCAATGAGGTTGGGGAAGTTGGATGCATGCAGCTTTTCAATAACAGCTCCTCCAGGGTTGGGAACATTTCATGGAAGCAAATGTTCTACCAATAGCCACACCTTCTGTTAATGCAATCAAGCTTGCTACCACACCAATCCTCACCCCTTTCAAAAGATAATCTCCAGAAAAAATATGAGGAATCCTCACCCCTTTGAATTGATATTTGGAACCCTTGATATTTTCATAGTACTGAAAATGATGCAGCCCAACATAATATTAAAAATGATGCAGGCCAACACAATATCCAAAATTATATCCAAAGATTGTATCCAAAATAATAGCCAAAGATATCAACTACATATCAATCCAAAATGATGCAGTCCCATAGAGTGATTACAGATATGGCTAATTATACGTTCAAAATATAGGGTCTGACCAACATAGTATCCAAAAGACTAGCCAAAGATATCAACTACATATCAATCCAAAATGATGTAGGCCTATAGAGTGATTACAGAGATGGCTAATAATAAGGTTCAAATGTCAAAATGAGATCACTAAATGGTCACAACACAGATCTATGAATGACCATGTCACACAGATCTATAAATGACCACACATTCCCTTGCTGAATTGTAGAAATTTTATTCTTGTTTAGTTCAGAACGTTAGAGCTTTGGCTTAGTTGAGAACAACCGGCTGCTAAACCCAAGGACTCACTCACCAATCTTGGTCCTCCTATCTGGCCTGGAACCTGATACATTACAACAAAAAATTAATCAAGTTCAATGAGCATGAAAATATCCACATAATTTAAATGGGGTGAAAACAACTTACATTTGTATATGTTGCCCCATCAGTAGCTATGAAAACCCCAAATCCCTGTGGCACCTGCACATAAATAGAGCAGGTTTTGTAAAAATCAATTTCTCACAAATTAATGTTACTTTGACATAAATGTTTCACTTACCTTTGTGGACTTCCCCCTAGTACCTCTTCCTCTACCACTTCCTCCTCTAGATCCCCTATCCCCGATGGAATCTCTTCCCCCTCTACCTCTTGTTCCACCTCTAATAACTCTCCCTCCCCTGCCAATTCTATTAGGTTGAGCTGTGGCAGAATGATGGGTAAGTGGTTGACTTGTAGAAGCTTGTGGATGGTTGCCATCATTTCTTGGTCGACCACTAGATCTTTTAGGTTTTGGCTGCCTCACGACAGGGTTGTCTCTATTTGGACACCTTCTCTTATTGTGACCTTTTGTCTCACAGATACTACATGTCATCTCCATTCCATGTCTGGTCAGCTTACCTTGTTTTTTGGGGTCTTCAAATGGGTCTTTTTTTCTGTTGAGTCTCGGTCTGCCAGGACCAATTTTAATTGGAGGAGGATACAATGGAGCTTCTATTCTCGGCCAATGCCTCTCACCTTCACACGGAGGGATAGAACCTGCATATGCTCTTAGATACACATCCCTCTTATAACATATGTCTACATAGTCCTCTGCTTCTTGATGTAGGAAAAAGATACATGCTATTGCATGACAACAAGGTATCCCTGACATATCCCACTTTCTGCAGGTACACGTTCTTGCTTGAAGATCCACAGTAAGACTATCTAAATACATATTGACTTGAAAAGTGTGAAAAGTTGATGGGAGAACATCACAATTACAAGCCTTAGCCTTCTCAAGTTCTAGTTTCGCTTGTATTCTAGGGCATATAACTGAATGTGCATTCTGCATTTCTTGCCTTTTTAGGGCTAACCTTTGCATCAATGCAGCTCTAATATCCTCTAGCATGTATATAAGGTGCTTTGTCCTTGCATTTATGATGTACCCGTTAAATGTTTCAGCCATATTGTTTGTAATGGCATCACATCTAAGGGTAGTGTTCATAAAAGCTCTACAGAAACACCTTGGGTTGTAGGTTTTAAATGCATTAGCAGCTTCAGGATTTAACTTTACCAATTCATCAAATGCATCATTGTAGTCTGCTAGGTTATATGCTTTAGCAATCTTCCAGAACATTAATTTGAGCTCATCTCCTTTAAAAGAAGTCATCTCCTTGGTCTTCTACTTCAGCCTCATGTTCTGCTTCATCCTCGTCTTCTGCTTCAGCTACATGTTCAAGCTCAGCTTCATAATCAATATCATCTTCCCCTGATGTTGTTACAGCCTCATGATGTACAGCCCCAGAAAATAAGTCATCTCCTTGGTTATCAGTTGAGGGTTCTGTTTGATTTTTTGTGTTTGTATTTGACGGTAACATCAGCAATACTTCTGGTTGATCAAGGCCATGAAGCACAAACAAATCAAGACACCTAACCTTCATCAAGATTTCTGTCATTTGCAGAACCTCATGATCATTGTATACTTTTTTTAATCCATCATCCAAGCTCAAACCAGGCAGCAGATAAAAGATTTCTTCAATAACATTGTAATCACCACACTTCTTTGCCAATTCTTCAAGCCAAAACCAACATAGTTCATCAGGGTCTACCTCAAAACTCTTATTCTGTCCATCCAGATAAACTAAGACATCGTTTTTCTTCCTAAACAAACCACCATGCCAGAATCTCAAAGTGACATGGTCCATTTCAGCCAATACAACCTGCACATGAATAAAGACATATGTAACATTTAGTAAAAAATCATCCCAAAACAGTCACATTTAGTAAGCACATATAGTAAGAATCATCCCAAAAGGCATATAATTTCTCTAAAAAATCAATAAGGAATTTCATCAAACACATACTGAGCACCATATGGAGTTTTATTAAACACACAATCAAACATAAGTTTGGCATAATATGAACAATATATTTCAAACTGAAACCCACCATGCACTTCATCAACTCAAATGGTAAAGGGAGAATTTAGTTTTGACAACTTATCAAACACATTCGGCTATATACAATTCTTACTATAATGGACTGAAAGATTTATGGAATGATTTGTAGAAGCAGAGTTCTAAATTATTACCTGTAATCAATTCAATGGTGAAACACGTCGTCCTCTGTCACCGTTGCCAGGTTTCTCTTCCTCCGTCTCAAGTTCGTCTTCATCGCCGCTCACCCATCTTCTAGCCCGCTCAGTAGTCGTAAGTCATTTTAATTAAAATGTAAATTTTTATTGAAGGTAAAAACCATTTAGGATAAATTTCTTTGAGGTTAAATAACTGTTGTTTTAAAAATAGACGGTTGTAGCCGGTAACAAGTCATCCGGACCGATGACGGAAGATATTATATAAAGGTTGGTTTTTTTATGGATTATCAAATAGAGGGACCGTTCAAAGCAGACCGCATAAAGGTGGGACTATTTGTTTCCATTTTTTCTTAAAAAAATCACTTTTTTATTAAACATTCCAACTTTAACTTTATCCCTAAAATCACTTCTATTATCAAACACTACCAACTTTTATCATTAATCACTTTTCCAAAAAGCAATAAAAAAATCACTTTTTAAAAATAAAAGCAACCTCAAACACTCCTTTAATTGGTTGAAAATACGAACAATTTACTCGCTCTATTTCTTAAAAACTTGGTCAAGTTTAACTGATACGAGAATTAATAAAGTAAAAATTGTACAACTAAAGTTGTGCATAGAAGAGAGAATTAATTGGAAACATAAATTCTTACTTGAAAGGTAATCCATAATTGAAGTTGGAAAAGTTAGAGTGACATTCAAAAAAAGAAAGTTGACAAAAGTTTAAGAGAGGATGAAGTATATTTTAATTGTAGTTTTTATTCCTATTGTTTCAAAATAATTGTTTGAATTCTCTTTGTGTATGAATTATTATTAAGGATGTTTTCTTTTGGACTGTTTTCAGTTCCAGACCATACCAAATCAGATCTGACCAGACTTAAACATATCAGACCAAACTTAAATAGACCAGACCAGACTAGACCAGACTTAAACAAACTAGACCAGACCAGACCTGGACAGTTATAAAATACAAAGAGACCAAACGTTTACTAGACCAGACCAGTTTAGACCAGACCAGATCAAACCAGACCAGACCACACCAGCAAATTTCAGTCCAAAAGAAAACATCCTAATTATCTCATTTCCTTTTAAAAAGAAATCTATCATAAACACACTCAGGGCCGGCTCAATAGATTAGGAGACCCGGTGCAAATCACGTAAAATAGTCCTTATAATATAAAAAGCAGTCTTTAAAAAATAACCCAAAAAAGACTGCAATCAAATGTGACATTGAGATATAATCATATTTCGAACCTGAACAGCCAAAATCGGTATTAAAAAAAACTAAAACCGAAAAGAAATAAATTAAAATCATGAACTAAAAAATATAGAGTAGGATAT